TAGCGAAAGATCAGTATTAAATCAGACAAGATCTCGAAAGTGCTCAATTTGTTCTCATCATTTCGAAGCTCCTGAAAAAGACAGATTATCACGACCCCAAACCAGCGCAGTAGTCTTTAATGTTAGTTAGGTGCCGTAGATTCGCATCGCGAGATCCCTTCAATGGAACCTTTCTCATTACCATAACAGAATGTTTGTTTATTGTTGATCCCATTATTTATAGGTCAGTGAGTGAAGACGTTTACTAAGCGAAAGGAGCCATTGATACCGATATTGCCCGTATTCGCGAGATCTCGATGAATCCGTCTGCCGTCATAGTATGTTCCCGCCGTCCATTCTCGACCCATCATCAGAGTGGCGTTCGGCTAATCTCGTTTCATTCGCCTCGGTACATTGAAACAGTCCTACTTTACCAATTAGCCTAAATATCCATAACTGGTTATCTCTTCGCCAGTTGCAACACTATTGCCTGTGTAAACCAACGATAATGGCCGTGTCTTCTGAAGTTCACCGAAGGTTCTGAAAGCGTTTCGACAGTCTGGTGCACGCATTCCGTGACATCGGTTAATGGCGGAATCCGAAGCGTTCGTTCTTTCGCCGCTTCTCCTGTTTATCGCCTGACTACTCATATTCTCGATGTTGGCGATGATACCGGTTTGAAATCTCCGGTACAATGATTAGTTCGCATAACACCGCGATGACAGCAGCCGACAATGGTAAGCTCAGAACGAAAGCAAACATGTTTATTGTTTCCGGGAATTCGTCGTAGGTGTTGAACAGTTGATCAAAGCCGATCTTAGGTGATGTTTGATATTAAGATCGATAATGTTAACCACGTCCTAGAGAACGAGTATATTTCCGACGTCATTTTGAGAATAATTATTGAATGCAGTTTGAAATTGTCCATCTCGTTTCGGCATTGGTAACAGAGTGTCGTTCTCCTTCATCCATGCAGCGATAGTTCGGATTTCAGTTCTGCATCGTTTCAGAATGCTGAAGAGCAGAGTCAACATAAGTTCAAATGGTGCTCATGGTGAGATCCTTCATATAAGTTAACAGTCTTCAAAGATCAATATCAACTTGAAACATTGGCCCGTATTCCAGTTGTTAGTACCATAAACACTAATGCCTTTTTAGTTATTCATCGTTTGCGTTCTCCGGCCTTCTTGAGCCGCTTCCGAAGCGATTTCGAGTTGAATGAGACGATCCAACAGCCTGCGATAAGCCTGCCGAGCAGTTTGCCGCCATCATGACTATGCCAAATTTTGAGCGTTATCGGAAAGGATTTCCGGAAGCGCCAGGTCTGGTGCGTTCATTGAAAATTCACCCTGCCAGAGATCGGTTCGTTTCCGGATCTCTTCATAAGATGATTATCGCCCGTCAATGCTTGTTGCGAAACTTTGCTTCCATGCCATTAAATGGCACTGGAGTCGTCCTGTGCCGATCGTACAGCGACGAAATGGCAGTCGACTTCGCCTAAACAGCTTCGACCTGAACAGTCTCAGCCATGCTCGACAGCTTCGTTGATTTCATAACATGGAGATGACCAGACGTTTATCAGCACTTTCGTTCAGACGTTTCGTCGATTAGTAGAGCGTCTTTGTTGTTGTCGTTTTAGACCATGCTCCATGCCAAATGGTAGTGACGTCCATGATAATAAAGCCCCAAAGGAGACGTTATCAAGCCAACAGTTTTCGCCAGTAAATTTCAGTCGTTCGACGTCGACTCGGCACGTACGATAGTCAGGAATGGAAGTAGCTATCTCATTCAGCAAAGTTTCCCAAACATTGCAGTCGCGCAGTTAGGCGAGGTCGTGTGCCAAATTTCAAAGCAGCCAAACTTCCTTCCGGATATCAAATCAGATTCTTCGAAGTTTCGTGGTGACTTCTGAAACACCGTAAGACTTCACCAACATTCTTTTCTGATGGAGCAGCAGCGAAATCATCGCTTACATGTCCGAAAGCGGATGCGTTATAGTTAACTGGTCTCTTTTTGAGTCGGTCACGGTACGCCAGCAAAAGTCTTATTTCGCCGTTCATCAGAGTCTGGCCGACCATCTCTTCCTTCCTGGCCGCCAGGAGCGGCGATGTTTTCCGTGTTGTCAGCGTCGATGACGTGACTGAAGCCTTCACGGAGTTTCAATGGCGACTCCGTACTGGCGGACGTTTCAAATATAGCGATTAAAGATGATAGCCGTTCTTCATTGCCGTCATCGCAGGCCACGTCATTGTGAATTCTGCCAGTTGTTATGACCGGTGTTTGGAGAAGAGGAAGCCACGGTGTTTGAACCGTTGTCTGCATGAAACCATATCCAAACATAAGTGGAAGCGCTGATCGACCAGAAAGCGCCGAAACTTTCGAAATCACTGTGAAAGTTATCGCAGAGTTTGAGCCCCGAAAGCCTGAAATTCGACGCGCCTCACGTCTCTCGTCGCGGTTCTTCCTCGGCATTTCCAGCTCTCTTCATGATGGTGTTAAGAGAAAGTTAAAACATCTTCAGATCTATTTCGCGGAGCGAATCTTCGTGTGATGCTGCGACAGTCGTTTCGCATAGCGGTTTACGACAAAGGGTAGTTATATTCGATTTTCTTTCACTTCAGGAGAGTTGCATTGAAAGCCATACCAGACTTTCAAACGGGTCAACAGAAATCATCGGGTGACGACCACTGCTTCGACCTCGAGCGACGCATTCACCTGATCTTTCCGTCAAAACTCCGATTATCGTTATCGCAGGCCGTTGCCGTTTCTGATAGCCGAAGTGGGAGCAAAGCCAGATGACTGAGGTTGAGCCGCGAGTGGTGAATCTCTGAAATAAAACTGTCGAGCCCAGCGTGATTGTTCCGGAGACGACACGAGTCTTGTGGGTATGTGGTCGTTCACGTTCACTGGAGCACTGGCGTCTCGAGATGGTCGTTCACCAGCATAATCGGTTCAGCAGCAGTTGAGTCCCCAGCCGTTCGTTGCGGAGCAGTCGGATTGCCGGCAGCTGACGTCACTTCGTTCGGTAGTCTCCGCTCCGTAGTCGTTACGTTTCGTCTCGATGAAATAGCGCTCCATGGAGTGCGTAGTCTTTTCGATCGGACATCGTCTTCAGACGGAAAGCTTCTACCGGACAAAAGTTCAGCCACCTCAGTTCGCGCCAGACTGAGAGCAGCATCACCGTAGCTTTGCACATAGCCAACGTCACGGTGAAGATTGCGATAGATTATGCTTTCCTTTTCGCGTCAGCGCCACATCTCCGAAACAACAGACGCAATCATGAAAGTAACCTGAAGAAACAGCAGCGTAGGTGATGACATGTATGGTTTAACAATGACACGTTATTGGTTTTTCGGCGTAAGCCGATTCTGGAAGATCTTATAAAGTTGGCAGCAGGCGTTTGATCAAAGTCACCAAAGGTCCACAGCAGTTTTCATTGTGGTCAACTGATCAAAGAAAGAAGATCTCGATCTTCGATTTGTGGTTCCATAGCCCCAGCTTCGTGTTTGTTGTTGCGTAGAGAAGTCAGCATCTGCGAAGAATGACCAGGAATTCTTTGTTCGAGCTTCGTAAAAACACATCTCTGTGTCACCGATTTTGGCGAAGTAAGCATTTACTATTATTGTGGTGCCAGATGTTCTGATGTATGAATAGCCGCCATTGGTAGCCTGGTTTTTGGCGTTGCGATCGTTTAGAGCGAATGTGATCTTAACCTTTTGAGTTTCGATCTGGGCAGACAAGTCGAAAGGTGCCGTTCGCCGACTGTTGGTGATCAGGAACGGGAAGAAAAGTGTTATCTTCCAGCGTATTGTTCGTTCTGATGCCCGCTTCCGATCATACGGTCGTTGAATTGCTCAAGGGCGATATGATGTTTGCTTGTTGATGGCTCTGTGTTTAATATGCCAGCCTGAAATATACATTTAACACAATGATAAGCGTTGAATCCAGCAGTTGGCGTTTTGTGAAGAGTGAATTTTTGCAATCCATCTTGCAGCTGCCTTACTGAACTCGAAAATTGAGAAGAGTGTGATGGGTACCTTCAGCCTTGCTCCAAAGCAGACCACTTTCTCTCGAGGCTGGTTTGGTGTACCAGAACAGTGGCAGGAAGAAGTCCATCATCAAAGTCATCCCAACATTAACAATCAAGACCCCCAAACTTCAATAAGTCCCTCTCTCTGGATCAGGAGACTATAAAGAGGGCAAATCACTCAAGGGTGGTGTCTCTCTGGATGTACACAAGGTCTTGGACAAAACCAATCACTCTTCAAATGTAAGTATTACGGAAACTTAAGTTAGGAATGGCTAGGAATGCCAACAATTTTACAATCACAACACGTTTATATAAGAAATTCACTCTTCACCAGGTAACCTTAAGTTTCAATGACTTGTCAGTTTGTTGTTGCAAATTATTATATTTCAAATAACAACATATTAAACACAGTATCAAATGTTGTTTCAAGTAAACATCATATCACTTATGAATGTATTCAACGGCCATGTATGTCCAAATCAGGTGACATCAAGAAGACAGGTGGTTCTAAGAACAAGTACAGCGGAAGTGTAACACTTTCTTCCCGTTTCCTGGTCACCAAGCTTAGTGGCAACGTATGACCAAGACGAGCACAGTCAGCACCTTTTTAACTCTCGACTACAATCTGCCTAAGATCCGAAGTATCAAAAGGACAAGATCACATTCAGCTCTAAATACACTGATCGTAGCGCCAAGTCCCTCTGGAACTACCAGCTGAACACGTAAGTAAACATTCATACATCAAATTCTTATTCACCGAACCGGTATCACAACCCTAGTAATAGTAAATGCTACTTTGTAAAATCAGGTGTCATGTGTGTACACAGGATAATGTTTTTTACAGAAACTTCGAAGACAAGAGATTCCCTGAGGTCAATTTCTTCACGGATCTTGACTTCTCTCACAACAACAAACACACAGAAGTTGGTGCAACATTCCGATATGGACCTAAATCCAAAGATTCCTCCCGTCAGATCACAGGCTATGCTCTTTGTTAACCATGACGTTGGGTCCAAAGCCAAAGTTGACTACACAATGAAAACTACTGTGGGACCACTGGTGAGCCATTTGATCGTACCTAACATAGCTATAAGGTCGCACACATAACTAAGAATCAACTACACTTAACAAATAATGGCACATTGTATCATTGTTATAAACCATACATATTCATCACCTACATAACAATTTCTTCAGGTTTACTTCATGGTTGCATTCATTATTGTTTCAGGATGTGAAACTGAGCCTGAAAGGAAAGCATATCCAAGACAGTCGCAATCTGAATTCCACCATGACATTTGGCTATGGCAAAGGAAATACAATTGATGCTGCTCTCAATCTGAGAAATAGTGGAAAGAAGACACTGAATCTTTGGGTGAAGCAAGGCTTTCTTATCCAGGCAAAGAACTCCATCTGAAGACTGATCTAATCCAGTCCAAGAAAGACTACACACACTCCATGACCTTCTTCATGGACAAAGAAAAATCTACTATGGTAACAACCTACAAAGACAGAGAGATGCAGCCCACCAGGTGAAATCTGACATCAAGCTACATTACATCCAGCCAATCCAACTGACTGCCTCCACTAACCTGAACAACAAGGACCTCAAGCTTTCTGCACAGGCCGATTATGCTGGTGAGGTTTATGGAATCAACACAGGCTATAAATACTCCAAGACGCCAAGTGCCAAGTGGAGCATGGACATTACATACCCCACAAGACATGTCATTCTCCAGGTCGAGGGTGGAAGGCGAGGTGTCACATACGAGGGCTCTGCTGATGCTAAGTGGGATGCTGACATGACATTTCCAGGAGATTCCTCCTCACAGGAAAACTCAACCTCAAGTCATCTGGCAACTTTGCTTCCACTGTTGCAATGAAATACCCAACCAGAGATGTGGAGTTCAATATCAAACATGCTAGTGGCCAACAGTATACTACACGTGCTGATGTCTCTTGGGACACTGACAAGAAGATCAAAGTAGATACATCCTTCAAAAAGGTCCAAACACGAAGTGGTCAGTCACTTGATGGTTCTGTGAGAGTGAAGACCCCGTTTGAAGGATATGAAGATCTAATGGCCCAGGCCAGTAGTGACAACAATGACAAGAAATATGGCTCCTCAATGCAACTCTCCTGGGGTGGAAAGAAAAATCAGATCTCTTCTGCTGTCAGCATGAAGAAACCCTTCTCTGTAAGAAACCTTGACCTGACTATCACAGGAACATCCCCTTTCAAAGGATACAGAAGGTTCAGCACCGAAATAGATCACAGAATGACAACTTCTCTTAACACCATCATTAAGGGAAGCTTAGAGGGAAAGAATGCCAAGCTCATTTTGACTGGGGAGAACCGATGCACTGACCAGAAAAGGGACATTGAGGGTACCGTGAATTTCAAGTCCAACTTCAAGGGAATGCGAGCTGTTAATCTACGTCTTTCTCACAATGATGATTTCAGAAAGTTTGTGACTGACATTGCTCTGGATGTCAATGGCGATCAATACACCTATGATTTGGATATGGACCATGCAAGATCTGGATGGCAGTTCCAAAACACCGGTAAGCTCACACTCTCTTCTCCAAGCTACCGGTTCACCAACAACTGGCAACACAGGAATACTCACAATGACGTGAAAAGTACAATGACAACCGAATGGGGCAGGGGCCGACGCATCTTTGTCAACATATTTGGAAACCATGCTTCAACCACCAGAACAAAGGCCTTGGGAGGAGTAACCATTGAAACTCCATGGAAACCAATCCGCAGTCTTGACATCAACCTTGACCATGAACACGGAAGAGGTTTTATCCGCCACTCCTCTAACATCAAGCAAGGAGAGGATATTATTGGGTCAGCAGGAATCAACTACATTAGATCTGATGGGCAAACAGAGTCGGACTTTACACTGGCATCACCTGTGACCGACCTCAAAGGGAAGATAAGTGCTCGCTATCTTACTTATCCACTTTCAGGACATGCTGAATTAGAATGGTCTCCATATAACAAAATGTCGCTTGATGGTTCCTTTGCTGCTCCATCTAAAGAGAATATTGAAACAAGTCTACGGATGACAAGTCCTTTTGAAAACTTCAGAGACATTGTCTTGAAGGCATCTCATAAGAGGGAAGGATCTGATTTGATATCAAGAGGTAGTTTCAGCTATGACATCAGAAAGGCCTTTGAATTTGAAGCACACATTACTCCTGACACCCTGAACAATTATCGGGCAACACTGAAGACGCCTTTTGATGACTACAAATCTTTGAGGCAGCACTTTCATACGATGGTGGCAGGAGAACTTCATGAGCAAAGCTAACTTTGCTATCACTCCTGTTTTGGGAAACTTTGCTGGGATCTTGAACTGGAACCTCGACGACATGAATGGAAAGATGAGGATAGATACTCCATTCCCTGACTATCAGTACGTGCAGGTGTTTGCCAGCAGTGAACTTACAGGCAAGGGAGACGCTCACACATTGAAACAGAATACTATCCAAGGAAAACTGTTAGCCTTGATGCTGTCTATGCATTTGGAACCCCCATTATCATGGACGTCACCATCAAGACTCCATTTGAAAACATGGAACACATGAGTGCATCCCTAAAACATGCTCTCAGAAGACGCTCTCTACAAACACATGCTGATGTTACGTTTGCGTCTGACAGCAACTTGGCTGGCGATCTGAAACTGAACTGGGCAAAGGGATATGATGGCAGTCTGGTCATCACCACACCTTTCCATGGTTATGAAATCAACAAGCTATCTGTCAGACATGAGGGCACTTGGGATGATTTCAAGAGTCACGGAGAAATTCAAATGACAAGGAAAACTGGAGAAGTCGACCTTGATTTCCGTCATGGCTTTAGATCAACTGGGACATTCACACTCAAGACACCATTTAATGGCATGGAAGAAACTAAAGTTTCACTTAACAAACGTGGCCTTTGGAATAACATACGAGGCGGTATCATCATCACCTATGGAAGAGATCAAACAATTGACATCTCTGGCCAGAACAGATTTTCCAATGGACGCCTGGACACAACACTTCTTGTCAAATCCCCCTTTTCGGAGAACATCAAATTTGGCATAGATCATGATGGCCAACTAAGAAGCTTCTCAACTAAGGTATCTGGAGCTGTTGGATCACGACACTCCTTCAACTCAGAATCAGCATTCACTTTCAGGTATCCATTGATAGATGTATCTACCAACTTTGCCTTCACAAGAGATTGGAGGAGCAGAAACATTGGACTCAAGCTTCACAAAGAAGGCTACATTAGTGACATGAACGCCAAAGCAACTGGAATTCTGGACAATGAACAAGTTGATGTGTCCTTTATACTTAAGACTGATGGCAAATATGAAGGATCTCTCACCATGCAGACACCATTTGAAGACTACAAAGATATTGGACTCTCTCTTCAACATTCTGGAAACGTGCAGAGGTTTACAAGTCAAGGCACTATCAGGTACATGGATGGCAAGTCTCTGGAGGGCACCCTGACTTTCTGGCAATCTGGCCTGGCTCATATTGATACCAAAGCAGAAATCAAGACTCCCTTCCTGGGATATGAATCTTCCCTTCTCAAATACCGCCATTCAATGGATGATTCTCAAATGACATCAAATGCTCTCGTTCTCTATGGACGTGGACAACGAATTACATCTGATCTTAATATCCAAACATCACCTAAGATCAGCTTTGATCTAACTGTTCAAACACCCTACGACAGATTCCAAAACAATAAACTTATGTTTACTCATTCTGGGCCTATTGTCAGCTGCACAAGTCATGCGGAATTGGAAATCCTGGGCAATACAGTCACTGCAGATTCATCATTTGAACACGGAACGTCCACCAGAGCCAGTCTCTCCATCATCACTAACATCGAGGGTATGGAAGTGGTCAAGGCATCTCTCAACAAGGAGGGAAGCAGCGAGAACTTTAGAGGTACTGCTTCAGCCTCCCTGAAGGATTCCACCATTCAAGCCGATGTCACAGGTAGAATTGCACAAGACATCAGAGGAAGCCTTTCTCTTAGAACCCCCTTCAGTGACTTTAGAGACACAGCCATTGTCATTGAACACACAGGCAACTGGAATGATTTTAATAGCGAAGGAATGCTCCGTTACATGGATGGCAAAACAATTGAGGGTAAAATTAAGTTCTTCAATAATGGATACAGGCAGATAAAAACAAGTGCCGAGCTGAAGACACCCTTCACTTCCTATGAAATGATGACCGTCGAATATGGACATGATTCCAGGAGCAATTACTTTAAATCCAACTCAGCAGTCACCTATGGCAACGGACAGAGGATTACATCAGACATCTCCGCAGATACAGCCAGAGATATCAATGTAAATGCTGTGATCAAAACTCCCTTCAGGGACTTCGAACTTAGTAGAGCAATCTTCACTTCCACTGGCCCTCTCAGAAATATGAAAAACAATGCAGAACTTGAGTTTGCCAAGACCAGACTAACTGCACAGACCAACTTTGCAAACATAGGATCAACAAAAGGTGATCTCGTTATCACAACAAACATTCCTGGTTATGAAAGTATGAAAGGTTCCATTGGAGTGGAAGGGGATCTCACTGATCTGAAATCTACAGCACTTCTTAACATTAAAGATTCTACACTTGAAGTAGATCTCAGTGCAAGTTTGAAGAACAGAATCATGGCATCTGTGACGATCAGGAGTCCTTTCCAGAACTTCAGAAATGTGGGAGGCTTCATTGAGCACTCAGGATCGTTATCACGATTTAATACTGAAGGAAATCTTCGCTACATGGATGGAAAAGTTGTTGAAGGCAAAGTCGTCTTCTTAAAATCTGACTGACACATATTCAAGCTAGCGCAGAACTCAAAACACCTTTCCAAGGATATGAAAGTCAATCTGCAGAGTACAAACATTCACTGAAGAATGGCCGTCTTAGCTCCACCATGGATGTCAACTATGGTCAGCGTCAACAAGTACTGATGACTGTAAATGGCATGATGTCACCAACAATAGACATTAGTGCTACACTGAGAACTCCTTTCAGAAGCTTCGAAACCAGCAGAATCATTTTCACCCACGATGGGCCTATTGGCAACTGCAGGAGTCACCTGGAACTGCAAGCTATTGGGAAGACACTCACTGCAGATTTGACTGCCAAACTGGTAGTTCTATGAGCGGTAACCTGAATGTAGTCAGCAACATTGAAGGCTTGGAGAGCATGAGGGTATCTTACAGTAAGGAAGGGATATCAATAATCTCAAAGCTAAAGGATCCATTGGAATCAGACAGGAAACATTAGAAGCATCTCTAAACAATGTCTTCAGTTCAAGGCGACTCTTGACTGACTTATCCATCAGAAATCCATACACAGAAGATATTGTTGCACGTGTAGATTTCAGTGGGAGACCAACCAACTTCAAAAATCAGATTTCAGCCAGCATGGGCACTGGTGGTTCCATCTCCTCGGACTCATCCTTCCGGCTTAGAAATGGGGATATTGATATCAGCTCAGGATTTAACTTCAATCTGGCGGGACTTGGACAGACAGGAAATATCAAATTCCACAAAGAAGGAGAACTTAAGAATATGAAAATGAGTATCAATGGTGATTACAACCAGAGGAAAGCAAGTGTGAAAGCCGAGTTCAGAGCACTGGACGACATCCATGGTCAGGTCAAAATCGCAACACCATTCAGACCATACAGAAACCTTGGCTTCTCTTTTGACCATTCTGGTACATGGACTCGTTTTACTTCTCAAAGTATGGTCCAGTTCATGGATAGGAGAAAGATCACTGCAAAAATCAACCATTTCAGTCATGACCTTGATCGTCTAGAAAGTAGCTTAGAAATTACTACACCTTTCCAAGGCTACGAGTTCACAAAAGCTGAGATTGATCATGCTGCAACAACTAATGGAATCAACTGTAATGCTGCTGTACAGTATGCACAAGGACAGAAAGTTACAGGAGAACTCCATGCTACAATTTCGCCAAAGTATGACGTGGAAGTCAAACTGACTACACCTTTCAGACAATATGAGGTTCTCTCTGCATCCACATCATTTGAGCATGGAACTGACAGATACAATCTACAGAGCAAACTGAATGCTGGAAATGGCAATCACTTTGGTCTTGAATCAACTGCTGACATGTCTACCACGCCCTACACGGCAGTTGCACGTATCTCAACACCATTTGAAAACTTTGATTCTGCTGAAATCTCTTTGACACATGCTGGTGAACTACGGAAGTTCAGGTCCACAGGCACAATACAAACTCCAATGACCGGTACTCACACAGGTGAAGCGTCTTTCGGTTACACATCCCTCTCAGAAATGGAAGGTTTAATATCTCTTTCTGATAACATCAAGTTGGCTTTACACAACACCAACAGAAACCAGAAATACCAATCTCACATTGAGGCTACATGGAGTCCCACAGACAGAATAGCTTTTGATGGATCCTACCAATTCCTTGATCTGTACAGTGAGAAAGAACTGACAACAGATCTGACCCTGGTTACACCATTTGAAGCTGCCAAATTGACTGCTCTCAGGTTTGAACATCATCAAGGATCGGATAAATATACAGAGAAGCTGGAAGCTGATTACAATGGTGACAATATTCTGGATATGGACATGGAGATCTCCCGAGGTTCAAGGGAGCAGGGAACATTCACAATGAGGAAACCAAGGCCAATGCAGCTGACTCTTTCAGGGGAAATGGCTGATGAGAACATTGATGGAGAGATGTTTGTCAACTGGGACAGAGATGAACCCGAGAGCAACATCCGAATCCAGACCACACTGACAGACAGGAGCAGACAGTCCCTGCTGAACAAAGACCTGACACTCAAGTTTATTCATCCCACCCGCACTGTTGGTATCATCGGAAATGTCCTCAGTTCACAGCTCCAAACAAAGAGTCGTGGAGAATTCATCTGGAATGAAGATGCAGGACACAAACTTTTCTATGATGTGGATGTTAAGGACCGTAGCCGCCGTAACAGCAAGATGTATGATGGCACCTTCAAAGTGGGATCCCCACTGAGAAGTCTCCAAATGGATGGGTCTTACAGTCAGACAGGTGCAAGCAAAACTCTGGATGGAGCCTTCTCCTGGGATGCAGACCGAGATGACACAAAGAAGATTGGCATGAAAGCTGTCTTCACACCTGGTGACAAGAATAAGCAGGCTGATCTCTCTCTCAGACTTCCTTCTATTGGAAAGGTAGGAACTCAACACAATATTTACTGTAAAGTTTATGCAAACATGATGTTTGGAGCTCATTACCAAGACAAAATGTCGCGGCGTAAAACTAAACTCACTCACTAAACTCAACAAAATGTCATGATGAATAATACCCCTTTAATGCTCTGTACACACAATTAGAACAAAACATAACGGTTGTCAATGATCTTCAGAACATCCAGATCGACACAGAAATGCTGCTGAATGATGGCAGGACAGTCTTCAATGGAAAAACACAACTGTCCTACTCCAGTGACTCCCGAAAGACCCTGACACTTACATCTCGACTGGATGATATTTCCTATGGATGGGGTAACACCAACTACAGTCTTGTGGTTGGCGTAAGCCACCCATATACAGATGTGGACGTCAAACTTACATCCCACATCGGCAGCTCCAGCGAGAAAGTATCTGCTGGAACTGGAATCACCTACCTAACAGCCAGAAGGGAAAGACAGAACTTTGCTCTCAGAGGCGAGATCAACAAACTGAGAAAGCAGATACAGCTGCAGGTGAGAAGCCTTACTGTTCAGAGTATCCTCAAAGCTTAAAATCATTAGCCATTAGGATCACATGATAGATATGATGTCTCAATATATACGTCATTAGTATTAACATTTATCTCATAATCAAATCTAAAGATGAAGTAATAATTACAAATTCATGACAAAGATGTTATCAAGTATTTGATATCAAGTAATATAATTCCCACTTTTATAGATGGAGACCCCAATCAAGAACATGGACCTCTCTGGTGAGATGGAGGAAACTCCTTTCAAGCTGAAGATCAGGAACATGTATGGAGACAAGATTGTCCAAGCACACCTTACTGTTGACACCGAAAGGAGAATGGTGGATTTCCAAACTAACTATGACCTAGGTAGGATCTGCAATATCCTCCTTCCTTTCAAATCTATTTATATATGATGAACATTTCATCAAATTTAAAGGCCAAAATAGCACTGTAACAGAAACATATTCTACTTCAGACAACCCTGGAAAGACACTGAACATGAATGCCAGATACGTCAATTCAAGCGCCATGCAGGCTGAGGTTTATCATCAGGACAATTCTCGTCGACTTTCTGACAGTCTGCTTGCTCTCAGACTCAACACATCCCGTCTTCTCCATACCAGGATATCCTGGAGGCCACAGATGATCGCTGATGTTCAGGTATTAAATGCTGAAGAACATATGTAATAAGTGTACAAATTGAAATGTTTGAAAATCAAAACTCGTCACAAGAAAACTTTCCAGATTTAATATACCATTTTTGTAAATGAGTACTCTTGCGTTTTTAAAGGGATACTTGACCAAGACAGTGGAGACATATGGGCAAGATACCAAGGCCTCTTTCCACTCTGTATACGAGTCTGTGGGACAGGAATTGTCCGGCAAGTACCACCGGATTGCACAAGTCGCCAAAAAGGAACTGTCTCCTTACCTAACCATGTTGGAATCAGAGATGGCTTCCATAGAGAGACAGTTGGACTCTATCAGGAGGGATATCAAGCGCATGTACAACCGTAATGACTTCTACATAGCAGCAATGGGAGATTACTTCAGTCAGACATTGTAAGTCGACCAGCGGTTTCATTTATATCTATAGTGGGATCAATTTATGGTCATATTTGGAATATAGCATTGTCTAAAGCTAACAACGCGAAAAAGACATTGCACACTTTGATAACCATGAGCACATTTCTTTGCTTCAGCGAAGCATACAAGGACCTTGTGACTTCAACAAAGGAAGTGTTTGCTTCCACAAATCAGAAACTGGCTGAATACATGCAGGAGATGACAAACTTCCCCATCGGACAAAAATATCAGGCCATTGTTGCTGAAACCCTCGCCAACTTTAAGGTTTGTGTCTCTTACAAACTTACATTTTTCATGAACTCCTGGTGTGATCCCTTATTTTCAGGGATCCATTCAAATGGGTATCGTGACTATTTTCCTTTTTACATAAAGAGATCTGTTTTGACAGATCATCGAGACTGATTACTTTGGCGTTGATATGTTATGTTTAAAATATTTCATTTCTCAATGTAGCGTGGTGTGGATGAGCTTGTTGGAATGACCGTGGTGATGATCTCAGGACTGGATGAACAGCTGCAGAGTATGAGGAACACTTATCATCATCATTACAACAACCTGCAGAATTCGATTACAGGTAATTTATTTCAACTTATTGTGAATGTTTGATTTTTTGCTTCCGAAATCAATGTACAAATCACCACCATCATGACAATTTAATTTTTACCTTATACTGCATCTTTCACAGAGCTGAAGAACCATCCTCGATTGGCGACTGTCAGGCTTCAGGTTGCTGACACCTACCAGCAATACCTCAACGCCATTACCAACAAAGTACAGGACCTTAACATCCCCAGCAAGTACAGCGCAATTGTAGAGCACACACAGAAGATGATGACCTCCCGCCTAGGAGACATCATGAAGAGGGACGACCTCCAACATCTGCTTTCCCTCACAAACGGTGCTTACCAAGAGGTCAGTCCAAATGTTATGTCCAAGATTGTTTTTATGTAGTGCAAGGCAACCTATCTTTTCAATTTATCAGTCTGGCAACACAATTTATGAATGCAACAGCTTCAATGAACTATCACTGGTTTACAGGGTGTGTGGGCATACAACTACTGGCAAGTAGAGGAGAACCTCAAGCAGCACCTGCAGAGCATCTATGAGATCATCAAGGAGATGATTGAGGAGGAGGTTCAGAAATACAGGGAACAATTGGTCTTTCTGGAAAAGTCCAAGGTCACAGTTTGGGATCCTGAACATGGAGAGATCCAGATAGACTTATACCTGCCTATCCCACTTCAATCTCTGGACACACTTCCAGAAATTCAGACGTATGTTCAAAGGGCAAAGACTGCAATCAACACATACATTCCAGACAAGGCAACGTACCAGAGAGTAAGTTTGTTTTGGGGTTTTTTGGTTTTTTAATTGTTTTAATTTATTTTATTTTTCATGAAACCCAAGTCTTCCATCATAAACGGTCCTTACATAATGACATATACAAATACATGAAACATAATCAGATATCCAACATACCAGGATGTAACATAGTTAGACCAGTGAAATATCAGCCTGTATAGGGTGTTGCATGCAATGCCACATCCAACATATCATGTTTTACATAGCGCAACATGCAGCATAGAGTGATGTATATAGCGTCATATCAGACATAGCATATTGTATATGGGGTACCATCCAACATACGCTGTATATTGCGCAACATCCAACATAAGTTGTATATAGTGTCATATCCGAAATATCGTAATGTATACAGCATATCATACGACCTATTATGTTGTATATAGCACCATATCCGACATATCATATTGAATATAGGGCCACATCTGATGTTTCCTGCTGTATATTGCGTCACATCCAACATATCGTATTGTATATTGCGGCACCTCCGACATATCATGCTGTACATAGCGCAGTACCAAGCATACAATGTTGTATATAGCGCCATATCAGACATATCGTATTGTATATGGAGTCATATCCGACATATGTTGTACATAGCGCAACATCCGAAATATCATGCTACATATAGCGTCATATCCGACATGCCACGCTGTATATAGCATCACATACGACATGTCATATTGTTTAAAGCACCACATCTGACATATCATGCTGTATATTGCATCACATCCCTTCTATCTCATTGTATATTGCATCACATCTGATCTATCATGTTGTATAATGCATACTCCTCTGACATATTATGTTGTATATAGCGCCACATCCAACATACCATGTTGTACATAGAGCCACATCTACCAGAGAGTAAGTTACCTAGCCTATATGTACACCGGTGGGTTTTTTCTACAATTATATTCAACGGTGAAGGGTATTACCAAATGTTTGGTGTATATAGTACCCGGGCATATAACTTTGGCATGAACGTTTCACTCATTCTTGAACCCGTCCATTGTGTTATAACACAAGATTCTTTCCCTATTTTCAGTACATCCCAACATCATTGTGGCAGACACCCAATGCTACAACGAGGATCAATCGTGAAATGAAAGTAAGTAGCACAATATGTTTATGATGCACCCTGCACTTTGCGTCTCTTTTTTAATATCTTTAATTGTATTTTCAATTAGCACGTGTTTAGTCATTTTGTTTATAAGCTATATGATTGTTCCTCGTGTGAGAAAATGAAGAATGAATAAAGAAGTCCTAAAGTAGATGATGTGATACAAATCTATACAAATTAAGTCACTCAAAAATAGTTCAAGTACAATGAAACATCTAACATGCATCTTTTCAATACTTTCATCTTTTGCAGACCTTGCCAAACGCCTCTCAGAGACGTCCCTTGAGAAGGTACAACGCCATACGTCTCTAAGACCACAGCCTTCCAACACCCATTGAACCCCTTACAGAAAAATGATCTAGACAATGTATTGACTATTTATAGTACCAAACGTTTTATGTAAGATCAATGTTACTTGTAAACTGTACTGAACAAATGATATAAGACAAACTATTTGAATATTTAGTAGTGAAAAATATGTCTATTATGTTTGCTTGTAAACGAACACTTCCATTATGTGGAATGTGTGGTGTCTTTTGTTCAGTATATGTTACAGATAAGGTAACAAGTAGCATGTAACAAATTCCTTCCCAGTCCAAGAATAAATATTTGCATTCAAAGTGTTTCCTGTTGTATTCTATGGTGTTACACCTTTACTTTCGCTGATGGAATTATCGGAATTTTCACGTCTGCATTTGTCACATACTAAGAAATGACACTGGCATGGTATCCTCTGGTCATCTGTTAATGATGTGACAACTGTTTGATGTCATTAAACTGACACTTTCTACTTGAGGCAAGTAGTACATTGTTGTACTCAACCGCCTCACGAGAACACAACGTATCACATTTGACGAACACTATGTTTAAGGATACACAACAACACACAGTCCCACGAGAAGACAAAGTATCACGTTCAATAAACAAAATGTCAAAGGATACACAATAATAGACCACCTCACAAGAACACATAGTATCATGTTTACAAACACAATGTCTAAGGATACACAACAACACACAGTCTCACGAGAACACAAAGTATCACGTTCAACAATCACAATGTCTAAAGATAAACAGTAACACACAGTCTCACAAGAACACACTCACTTACGAGACTCATCAACACAATGTCTTACGAGACACATGCACACAGTTTCTCATGAGATCCAATGACACTGATCCATCGTTGGCGCCTCTCTGAGAGCCTTGTTCTTGTTTAGTATATAGTTGTTCACAAAACATCTTTTGTTCCTCAATAATCATTTTCCGATCAATTATATCCATGTTTGGAGAGTCAATTATTTTATTATCAACCTATTGGTGTAGTTCCCATATTCCAAATGGCACAGATATTTTGGTTTTTCTTCTTCTCGATACCATTTAATTCCATTTCTAGTTTGTACAAGTTTATATCCTTCTCGAACTTCTTCTATTTTTTATATATGGTTAAGGGGTGATGGGGTAGCCTTGAGGTCAAAGTGTTGGCTCGTCACGCCGAACATCCGGCTTCGATTCCCTTCAATGTAATGATGCATTCATGTATGTATGAAGCCCATTTCTGGTCTTCCCCACTGGGATAATATCGCTGCTGTAAATATTGATAAAAGCGGCATAAAACTTCACTCACACTCTATATGGTTAGTTTAGTAAGTGTTCAGTGATTAAGAGTTTGAAACTCTTCTCACGCGATATTTTCTAATTCTGTGATTTCAGTTTCAAAACGTTCTACCTGGTTTTTCTTTACTTTGGTCTTTAGTATTTTCTCTCCAAAAGTCAGGTGAGTCAAAATCTTTCATGCATTCCAAAACCTTATTTCTGGCAAAAGAAGTGTTAATGTTACGCTAAGCCTACTGGAGGATAGATGACTAGATTCCTGTCGCCACAAATGTATATTGATTCATTGAATATTCTTAACTAGATTACTAAAACAAATGGGATTGACAGTGAAAGGCCCATAAATATTTGTTAATGTAGTTGCATCTACTATAATCAAATCACCATATGGTTCAGTGTGACATTTGTGTATTTTGATTTTAGATTTATTGTTAACCAAAATGACACCTATATATTTACAGAAATTGAGAGCTCAGTACAAAAGAACGAGGCATCTAAAGCCATTAACATGAAAAATAGTAACAACCAGGAATAGATGGATTTCTCTTTATGGGTATTCCAAACGATGCCAACATGACGCTAGCGTGTTCGACGCTTTTCACGGAATGAAACAAAATAAAACAAATGGGAACCTGAATGCCAATTCAAATCGAAAAGAGTTAATAGCTAAGCAGTTTTGGGCAACTGCTCGGAAATAACCACAAGAAAGAATAAATTGTTTTTCCGCATAAGACTGTTACTCTTTCATATGTAATAAAAAGAGTACCACACTTTAAATTGCTTAACATAATTCTATTAAGCATATATTGTGCCAAATGTTGGTACTAACCCACTGGATGCCGGCGTATATGCGTAAGATTGGTCATGAGGAATGGATTCGATATCGAGGTTGTTGAATGTAGACATATTTGTGTATATGGATATAATCAATCTGAAATGGTGGTGTTTTATGTTTACATATCAACACATGTACTTTGGGCCGGAGGCCTTTATTAAATAACGGATGCAAATGAAGCGTGACTTTTCACGGAATGAAACAAAATAGTGAATGCAATTCAAATCGAAAAGGAATCAGACTAAATAGAAAAAAACTGTTTTAGGCTGTTACTCCGTATCACTATGTCGAAATAACCCACATCGGCCTAACTGGCGTTCAGGGGATGCATAATAGATATCGACGCATGACCGTAAAATCGAAAAGTGAAAACAATAGATCATGGTCGCTCAGGCAGGTATGAACGGACCGTCGCATGGCATGAAATGCATGCTGCCCACAGGCACAGGGGGTCATTTCAAAGATATTTTAAGTTGTTTCATGTGTATTGAATATGTCTCTATTGATTATCTTATCTTAGCTAATATCTCAGTTCCCCCAACCACCGTCTGCGACACCCGTCCTGGTTTTGCTTTTGAGACGACCCCTCCTACCTGTTTCTTTTCACAGTGATAGTGAGACGCCATGGTAGCTACATCCTTAATAGTTTCAGTATTAAAGTTATTATTTTTTACGTCTGCTATCGTTTATAACGAAGCTAAGTCTAATTTCAAAATGATCATTTAAAAAGTGTCCTTTGTAATACAATATCATTGCACACTACTTTGCATAAAGCCATGGTCTGTTTTGAATAAGTCGCATTGCTCATTTCTGCACTAATCTCTCCTCAGTAAAATCCTTCTGTTACGTTCCCATCTCCCTCCCACTGCGACTGTAGTTAGGCCGAACAGGTTCAACAGATATTTCACACTTTCACATATTTTAAACTACCTAAATTGTAGATATAAATGTGGAATAACCTTTTTCTTTTAGATATAAATGTTTTATGGAATACAGTCGCTTTGATCACGATTTCGAAACAGAGCCATTCTGATGCAACGGTCTAGTTGTCGCCCTTAGACAGATCAGATTGTTGTCAACGTTATCGTTTGTCATTGTAATCTGCTAATTACTGGGCTGGGGTCACAATGCCCTGGGTTCTAACTTCCACCATGCCAACTACACGTATGACAACCCGTCGAGTTCCGACAACATAAGAACACCTTTCACGATGTCATGAAAACGTTTGCACAAGAGAGAGATATTCTTTATTTTCTTCTGAAATTACAAAATTATGGATGCATGAATTCAATCAAACATAATGCATGATAGTATTTACATACAGGACAATGTCATATTTGATATATGCAGAAATATAATCAAAACTTCACATCGTGATGGCGTCTACTGTACAGTGTCGGCAGTAGAATACAAACTCAAGATAGGTTTTAAATTATAGACATATGTTGCAAAGTATATAATTACAGGATATGTGTCCCGGTCTAGGATCGTGTTGTATTTGCACAAGACAGACTGAAGATCTCAAGCAAGGTTGCAAATAGTTGATTTTAGCCATGGAAGCACAGAATATGTTTTATGAGATTGTCACAGCCAGTGCTGCATAAAGGGAGATTGTCAAAGAACTGAACTGGAGTTTACGCTTATCAGTGTAATCAATCATGGTCCACAATCCTAAGTTTACAATAGTGGATTCAGATGGAGAGCTCATATCTAGTCCATGCACAGTGTGGGCAAAGTACCGCTGTGTGTTTTCAAGCAAACAAAGTTCCTGCCCTTTAATGTCAAACTATAGTTCTGGCTTTCAGAATAATTTTTGCCATATTTTAACACTGGCACCTGGATATAGATCAGTGTTATTTAGTCCCAAGCATTTACCTGATTTAACACTCTGTTTTGCGTTCTGACAACACTTTTCAATTTTTTATTTACATGTTAAATCAGAGGTGAGAAGTATACCGCCATAAGTAGTGGAATCAGCTGATGCAGTGTGTTTCATTACCAAGAGTGTAGTTTACGGTTTTAACTTTACGTTTAGTTTTATTAAAATGATGAATGTACTTGTTGCAGGAGTGTTAGTTATTGTTATATGCCTGGAGAATATCGAGAGCCATTTGAAGTCCTTTTGGTGAAGTACTGACACGTGCTGTGTCGTCAGCAAGCAATATAGTCGGAACACTCAGACCATACACACTTAGGCCGTTGCTAGCCTGTCTCACAAAAAGAAATCAAATCATTGATAAACACTAAGAAGAAGCAGGTCGACATAACTCTGCCTTGACCAACATCTTGCTTAACAAGATACCCGTAAGAGTTATCATAAGCATAGCTATTTTGTATAACTGTTGTGAAGTAGTTTCCAGTTGTTTCCCTGGATGCCCAGTTTATGTAACTTGTAAAGTAAACCAGCGTACCATTGTAGTGTATCCGGATCACTGATAACAGTATCTATCTGGAACAAGCGTTATCAACATGGAAGGTTAACCGCAGCAAATACACTAAACGCCAAAAGAAACGTTACCCTCCTTCCTCAATGGCGGGGGTACCTATCTTCAGCTGGCGTTGTGATGCGTGGACGTCCACTTCTTGGTCTGTCTACGGGGACCCCAGTGTGTCTGAAGCCCTGAATAAGTCTGATAACCGTGATACGATGGCATCCGAGGGCGTTGGCGACGGCATCGTATGTCCACCCCATCTGCACCATTACAATGGCTCTTTCTCTCTCTTCAGCTGTTAATCGTGGCATATGTCTCGTACTTGTGTATCATATCATGCATTCCAGGCTCTCTATATAACCTACAGAATCATTCTACATGTGAAATGGATGCAGATACTGCTTACATATTGTTGCGTTTTGGCGATTGCTATTGCTATGTGTAAACAGAAAATGGAAAAAATGTTACTTTGCAAGCAAACATGTTAACAAAGATAATTTCAGATGTTCCCAAACATTTTTTCACAATATAACAGACACGTTTTACTTGTTTTCACTAATGCAAATCAGCAGAAAATATTCATAGGAATGATTATTTGACAATTTTACACACTCTACAACAGTTGTTTCTTGTTTTAATAGTTGAAAAATGATGTCTTTAAATGGTTTTTCTTTGTCTCAAACAAGGTTTTATTTCAACCTTTCTTTGGACGTCAAAATCACTCTTATTGGTTTATTTCGGCATGGACGAAAATAGAACAATTTAATTCTTCTGAAAAAGATGCATTTCACCTAAATACGAATGCATTTGAGAAATAATTTTCGTGATTGGCATAAAGCGGTTTTGTTCAGCTATCTTTTAAACTAGTACCTTCTAACATATCTTTGATAGTGTTTAAGTAATACATAAATGTAGGAGGGTAACGTTTCCTTTGGCGTTTAGTGTATGGAATGCTGAATAGTTTAATCTGTCATCACATTACACTAACATCGTTGAATTTCCTAATTCATACATTTCAACATAAAGAAGAAAAATGGTATCATTTTCGACATGAACAGCAATTAAACAAAGAAAGGTAAACTGAATGCAACGATACTTGCATCTGATGTACAAACATCCTGTTATCAGCTTTGACTCCTGTAAACCTTGAAGGATGGCCTTGTACTCTTGCTTGTTGTGATAGGCGATTCTGTGTATCAGGTGGGGGTCAGTACAGATGACTTGGTTCATTGCACGTACTCAAACAGTAGGGAGGACAGGTTTCTCAAACACAGAATAGATTCTTTATTATCCGTGGCCCAAACTGCTGATTGCAGCGCTCTGTCTGAACCCATAAAACTTATTTCATGCTGTCGTCTTAAATTCCTTGCTTCAAGTTCGAGACTTGTGTTTAATATATTGTGGTTGAGTATTTTGTGTTTGTTAAGTTGTAGTGGATACCACAGACCCATTCTACATTCTCAGTTGACTATGAAGGAGGTATATGTACAAGATAATCAAATTACACATATGATTGTTTTTAGTTTTTATACAAACTTTGCTAGATATCTTGATATTTCTTTATTTACATCTGACATAAACATGTTAATTGTATGTGTAGAAGGATGATATTAGAATTTCTCTGGCACGTACCTTGATCTTAAATTTTGCTAAACAGTACATGCTAAAACAATGGTAATCCTTTTCCATATATAGTTTTTTGCATAAAATCATAGTGTGAGGTTCATAAATATATCGGTTTCAATTCGAAGCTAATGTGAGAAAAATCTTATTTGAGTAAACACAGCCCTGAACTTTTGAAATAATGAGTTCTTTGATACACATTTCTAAGCCAAAGGATAATTTGAAAGAATCATAGGACGAATATTTAGAGCTGATATCGACGGATGTATGTCAATCTTGCTCAAACGATAGCTTATGTCTGTATCCTAACTCCGAAATAGAAATACTGACACATTGTTCTTTCCAATGCCAAGCCATTCATGCAAAGAATACCTTAGAGTGTACTAGAGACCCGGTAGGTCTCTCACTTGACAAAATCTAGAACTAATATCTTGCAGCATATTTTCACACAGCTCGAATCAGGCATTGATCACATTGCATATTTCACCTCAGTACGTAACGGCCATTTTATAAGTAGAATTATACACCAGATAACGTTCACATTCTCCCCGACAACATAATTCGACGTTTGAAGAAACCGTTTACACGTTAACATTTCTGCAGTTATATTTGTTTGCTGTTATCCACACACCCTATTTCTGAACCATACACTGTACACTCAAGGTGTATGGTTATTCCCCAAATCATTCCGATGCTTCCATGTTTAGGTCATTTTACTAACTTTAATCTTTGACCAAAAACGGCACCGAAAATCTTTCACTGTAATGAAAAGTGTATGTATTGAACTACTTCGGAAACAGCTACAGAACAAAGTCTAAATAACCTAATTAACCTTCGATGCTCGTGGAGTTGATACGCGAGCAGTATATATTTCGATATGGGCCGAACAGGCTGATACACACGCCCCAACTAGGGACGTGCAACTTGGAGTGATCGGAATGCTTACTGATGTACACTGTTTATATATAGATTACTGTATCTCCATCTGACAACTACGCCGCGGTCAAAAGTCACTGATTCCGCCTGTCAGCATCTGCAACAGGTCTCACCTTTGACCAACCCACTTCGGATACCTGTATATAATACCCAGCAGAGAGCATTGGCTTCAGAAACCACGACGAACGCTGTGACACACGTTCCATTACACTACACGGTGTCAAGCAAGCAGCCACCACACAGCAACACGACTGCGGGAAGGGTCTCCCCCCAAAAACCCAACACAATGTATTCAACAACAGCATTTACGCTGTTAGCTCTGCTAGCAAGTGCTCTGGCAGGTAAGTCATTACAATCTAATTGTACAATTAAACTTGTACAGTGCCCGCAAGAGATACATACATTGTAAGATATTTTCATATGTTACATGCTATTATTTTTGCAATAAGCGAGGTGGGATCAAGCATCTGCTTGATATAAGAATTAAGTTGACAAGTACTTACTTCATCAGACTTTTGATGTGTAATTCTGCTAGTATTAATCTGGAATAACGATACCCCAGGAGATACATACACACTAAGATAGTTTTTATATGATATGTTCCTTGTTATAAATGATTTGTAAAGGCCGAGTTAGGAATCAGTCCCTTTTAGGGATACAGGGTCTTCTTGATTAAGTAACTGAGCAAAACGTTCAGGAATTGTTGTGACAGTAATCAGATGAGTTCATGTAAATGAGAAATAGACTTTGGTCATTTCAACATTTGCATGTTTAGGAATTGTGACAACACTAAAACGTATAATAAGGCCGATTTTATAGATGTCTAGGAAGGGTGTTTCTGATGTTTAAAAATGAGCTGTACATATGTAAGCTAAAACAAACTGGCGTATATGTACTATTTTGGTGTAATAAAGATATCTCTATAAGATACATGAAGATGCCTAACAAATTGCACATCAATATCGTCCGTCAAAGTCGCCCGTAACATGAATAATTGTCATGCGAAACGTAACTGAAGATGATATTTTTCTTTTAGGGCCAATCACCTACCAGTCCCGCGACGAGACGACATCCTGCGCCAGACGATGCCGAGGTGAGCAAAATGTCTCACATTGTAGTGGTTCTTGATGCCGTAATATCTATGATAGAATGTGGCAAAAACATACTTACCATTCATACATGTATGTAGATAGATTGTTCGGTTTCTTTATGAAATCAATTTTCTACATTTTTTGTATCAGACACGAACAAATTCAACTACGTCCCTGGAACTACCTATGAATTCGAGTACAATGTTCAGACCCATACATCCATGGAAGGAGCATCCAGTGATCAAGCGACTCTTGGTATTCGGGCAACAGCTGATATTGAGGTCCTGTCTAAATGCGACATGGCTCTTAGGGTAGGTAACCCTACACATATTCATTAGGGCAATGTCCAATACACCATGGCATGGTTAAAGATGAGGGACCTGTCAACCTGAAAGCGAAACGTTTTACTGTTGTGACATTTCACAAACCATCTGTTTCAGCTGCGCGACGTGAAGGTATACCAGTCTGATCCTTCAACCTCTACACCAATGAAGTACGCTGATGAGTCAGGGGAGTTCAGAAGGAACCTAGAACGATCGCCCCTCCGCTTTTCCTTCCAAGATGGCATAGTGGAAGAACTGTGCCCAGCTGAGGGTGAAACAACATGGGCTCTCAACATCAAAAGAGGACTTCTCACTGCTGTCCAGAACAGTATGGATAACCTGGAAAAGAATCAGAGAGTAAAAGAGGTAAAACTAAGAAATAGGTATTTCTCCCGTTTGAAGACTTCAAGATGTAGAAGACTATGTATGCAATACATGTATTGGGATACATCTGCATTTCTTCGATGTAATAAGTGTTTCTTGAAGACTTCAAGATGCATATTTGTATACCATACATGCATAACATTTATGTTTTATTTCTCCAGAATGACGTCACGGGCGAATGCAAAACAGACTACACGGTGGCATCACGTGGCTGGTACTCTACAACTATTAAGAAGAGCAAGAACCTCCTTGGCTGCACTGATCGTAATGGCTATCACAGCTCAGTCCATGGCATGCAGTACAGAGTTCCTTCAGAGATCCAGTCTCTGCCCCTCATGAAGAGTACACACGAGTGTGAACAGGAACTGGACAAGAATGGACTCCTCAAGAGTGCGCTCATCCGGGAGACACACACATTCAGGCCCTTCTCTAGAGCCACCAGCGGTGCCACAACCAAAGTCCTTCAGAGACTCAACTACAAGACTCAGAGATCTGGTGTTACCACAAGACAAGGTGAGCAGTAGAAAGATCTCACAGAGTTAGTTTTGAAAGTGTCACAAACAAAAGGCACGGGATTAATTGACTATAACACTCATCATTAGCATCATCATCATCTTAAATAAACGTTCCTAATTGTGTTTCTATCTGATTTACGTGTTTCAGATTATATTCGGAATCGGGCAGGACTTGTGTTTGAACATGCCTATGGCCCAGGAAACAAAGACCAACCAATGAGAGACGCTGAGAGTAAACTGCGAGAGATCTGTCAGAATACACGAGAGGATATCCGCCCGGACACACCACGCTTGTTTTCGGAGCTTGTCTACGTCATCAAAAACCTCAATGTTGATGACATTAGAAGGGTCTACGAGCAAGTTAAATCTGGAGCTATCTGCACTGACAACATAGAGAGGGTCAAGTTAGTATAAACAATTTGTATATCACTATCATAACCCATATTCTATCATCATGTACACATATATTTCTTGGATGAAAATCTTATCAACAACAATTATTCATAAACATCTGTTTTTCTAACTTTGACTAACCTTCAAATCTTGTTTCATTCTAGGAAGTTCTTCCTGGACACTATCCCGATGGCCAGCACAAGTGCATCTGTCACGTTCTTGAAAGACATTCTGCTGAAAAGAGAGGTCACTGGAGCACAGGCAACCATGTGGATCACATCCCTGTCTCTCATCCACTACCCCACCATGGAGATGTTGCAGGAAGTAAAGGTGAGCTGATCACAAACATCACAAAAAAGTACAATGATTGTGTTCACCCTCAATCAAAACAGTGAAAATAACCATCTCATGACCAACTATATACCAACTCTGAATGTATATATTTGTAGGCACTTCTTGACACCCCTCAGTACAGCAAGGCCGCCATGCTTCCAATCTCCACTATGGTCAATAACTATTGCAACCATCACGAAGACTGTTCTGTGGAATCCACGATCACAAATATCATCTCTACCATGGAGAAGACCATTGGTTATGGCTGCTACATCAGAGATTCTAATCTGGAGACGAGTCTTGTGGCCCTTCGTGCTCTCGGAAATGCAGGCCATCTGGACAGATTGGCCACTACAATTAGCAGCTGCTTCAACAAACAATCCAACCCCACGGAGGTCCGAGTAGCTGCCATCCAGGCCTACAGAAGACTGCCCTGTACTGCCGATGTGAGTTATAGATATATTTTCAAAACTTACTCATTCATACTTTTTTTACATTTAAATGTCATATGATATCCAATACAATTGTAATGTCTGAACATGTGTTTCATTTCAGAGAAGCAACGTTATGACCATCTACCAAGATTCCGATGAGGATGCCGAGCTGAGAATTGCAGCCTACTTGGCTGTAATGCAGTGTCCATCTGAAGATGTCTTCAGCAGAATCCAAGCGTCTCTCGAGTCGGAGAAAGTTAATCAAGTTGGATCCTTTGTCTGGTCTCATCTAACCAACCTGATGGAAACATCCAGTCCACAGAAGCAGACCATCAGACGAATCCTCGAGGACAAAACCCTTGGAAGGAATTTCGACCTCTCAACACTCAAGTATTCACGCAACTATGAAGGTTCTCTATTCCTGGAGAAATTCAACACTGGCGCCATGCTCGAGAGTAATGTCATCTTTTCAGATAAATCCTTCTTTCCTCGTTCTGCTATGCTCAATATGACAGTGGATCTCTTTGGGAACTCTCTCAATCTTTTGGAGCTTGGTGGACGCATGGAAGGAGTGGAGTATCTCATTGAGAACTACCTTGGCCCTTACAGCTACTTTGGAGGAAAGGCAGCCAAGAAACCAAAGGTACTTTTACATTTCAATCAATCATTTGTTTCGCTAAGGGCGCACACATATACACACCTTTATGTATGCGTGTGTTTCAAACCTCAATTTGCTGCTTCTTTCAGAGTACTGTCAACCTTGATCACCTAAGAGGAGACTTATACATGAGGATCTTTGGCAATGAAATGTACTATGACCATTTCAAAGGCGTAGATCCATTGGCATCCATCAAGAACTTCAACTTTCTGGACTTCCTTATCAAGATGTCCAAGAAGCAAGATTACTCCTTCACTCAGAGTATGATAATCCTGGACAGTAGCATGATTATCCCTACCAGCTCCGGTCTCCCCCTCAATCTCACTGTAAACGGAACAGCCACCATCGACCTCCAGGCCTCTGGTCAAGTGGACCTCCGTAAAATGACAACTTCACCAAGCAGTCTCCTCATTGATGGACACATCAAGCCAAGGTAAACTTTCAGTACTCAATTCTTTTTCAGGAAAAAGACCAATGTTATCACACATTCAATGCATATGTACTTGATATTATATATTTGCTTGAATCCGAACCTATGACCTTTTTCAGTGGAGCTATCAAGATTGTTGGAACAATGAGCATGGATGCCTTTGTCACCAAAACCGGCCTTCGAGTTGTCAATACCTGGCATTCCAGCACTGCATTGAAAGGGCGTGTAGAACTCAGCCGGGGAAAGATTCTTAGTGCAGACATTGACTTTCCACAACAGAAAATGGAAATCCTTGATGTCAAGTAAGCATTTTTAACTTTCAGTCCCTTAATACAAATACATATATACATAATACAAAGTGTGGTGTTGTTGACAGTACATGCTTCACACATATGCAATTAATCAAAAAATCATAGTAATAAAGATTAATATTTTCTTTCATATGTTACAGCACAGAGTTCTTCAGCATTCATGGTGATCAGGAGAAGAAACAAGACTTGGTCACAGACAACCGAAAGAGGCTGGAACTGTGCACAGGAACCAGACTTGCCACCATCACTGGCCTTGAGCTCTGTAATGAATTCCAGTGGTCTAATGCTTCCATGGTAGATGCTGCTCCATACTTCCCCCTTCACAGGGCCCTTCTCTCAAAGCCTTGTTCTTTACAAGAGGGACACACACACTGGCTACAAACTCATGGCTAAACAATCAACGGTCAGTATGTAGATTCATACAGTTAGCCTTTCAAAACACTCACATGCTTCCACGTTTTCGGTCGTTTCGGAGTTTGTAGTTATAATGTACATTTTTAGAAACTATTGAATTCACTGAGATAGTATTTTACAATTGGTTTCTTCTTCTTTTCAGAATCAGTATTCCACTGTTGCTCAGATAGCTCTGAACACACCTGGATCCAGAACTGATCGATCTTTGGCTTTCGACTTTCTTCTAAATAAGAAAACCAAAGACCTTGAAATCAACCTGGCGTCCCCATGGAAGAAGGCAGCATTCAAAGGTGTGTTACTTGGATGGGGTTTTCTCTCTGTGTTGTTGTTTGTTGCTGCAGTAGTTTGAAGAAACATAAAATCTTGTCATAACATACTAAGATTGAAAGTAAAACTATTCATGTCACTTTACAGGATCGATGGCATATGAAAGTAAGAAGATCGGCATGAAGGGCAATCTGATTGTCGATGAATCGAGAGAATATGGCATCATCAGCGAAGTTGGTATCAAGAAAGTAAGGACATTTGTGACCTACATGCCCCGCCTGGAGATCAGACGCCCAGGAGCCAAAGTTATCCTACTCAGTGGAACAGTAGAGGCTGAAGCACTTAAGAGAGCAAGTGCTGAACTAACCCTCAATGGAGTAACACCAAATGCAATCAGCTTTAGATGTAAGTACAAATTTCAAAGCAGACAACTTTCCACAAGAACCATGGCCTCAATCTATACAAAGTACCACAACTAAAGACCATGTTTCATGTTTCTTAGACCTAACTTACTCTTGCAGCTGCCTTACTGAACTCGAAAATTGAGAAGAGTGTGATGGGTACCTTCAGCCTTGCTCCAAAGCAGGACTACTTTCTCGAGGCTGGTTTGGTGTACCAGAACAGTGGCAGGAAGAAGTCCATCATCAAAGTCATCCCAACATTAACAGTCAAGACCCCCAAACTTCAACTCGTCTCTCTCTCTGGATCAGGAGACTATAAAGAGGGCAAATCACTCAAGGGAGGTGTCTCTCTGGATGTACACAAGGTCTTGGACAAACCAATCACTCTGAAATGTAAGTATTACGGAAACTTAAGTTAGGAATGGCTAGGAATGCCAACATTTTACAATCACAACACGTTTATATAAGAAATTCACTCTTCACCAGGTAACCTTAAGTTTCAATGACTTGTCAGTTTGTTGTTGCAAATTATTATATTTCAAATAACAACATATTAAACACAGTATCAAATGTTGTTTCAAAAAACATCATATCACTTATGAATGTATTCAACGGCCATGTATGTCCAAATCAGGTGACATCAAGAAGACAGGTGGTTCTAAGAACAAGTACAGCGGAAGTGTAACACTTTCTTCCCGTTTCCTGGTCACCAAGCTTAGTGGCAACGTACAGACCAAGACGAGCACAGTCAGCACCTTTTTAACTCTCGACTACAATCTGCCTAAGATCCGAAGTATCAAGAAGGACAAGATCACATTCAGCTCTAAATACACTGATCGTAGCGCCAAGTCCCTCTGGAACTACCAGCTGAACACGTAAGTAAACATTCATACATCAAATTCTTATTCACCGAACCGGTATCACAACCCTAGTAATAGTAAATGCTACTTTGTAAAATCAGGTGTCATGTGTGTACACAGGATAATGTTTTTACAGAAACTTCGAAGACAAGAGATTCCCTGAGGTCAATTTCTTCACGGATCTTGACTTCTCTCACAACAACAAACACACAGAAGCTGGTGCAACATTCCGATATGGACCTAAATCCAAAGATTCCTCCCGTCAGATCACAGGCTATGCTCTTGTTAACCATGACGTTGGGTCCAAAGCCAAAGTTGACTACACAATGAAAACTACTGTGGGACCACTGGTGAGCTATTTGATCGTACCTAACATAGCTATAAGGTCGCACACATAACTAAGAATCAACTGCACTTAACAAATAATGGCACATTGTATCATTGTTATAAACCATACATATTCATCACCTACATAACAATTTCTTCAGGTTTACTTCATGGTTGAATTCATTATTGTTTCAGGATGTGAAACTGAGCCTGAAAGGAAAGCATATCCAAGACAGTCGCAATCTGAATTCCACCATGACATTTGGCTATGGCAAAGGAAATACAATTGATGCTGCTCTCAATCTGAGAAATAGTGGAAAGAAGACACTGAATCTCTTGGGTGAAGCAAGGCTTTCTTATCCAGGCAAAGAACTCCATCTGAAGACTGATCTAATCCAGTCCAAGAAAGACTACACACACTCCATGACCTTCTTCATGGACAAAGAAAAATCTACTATGGTAACAACCTACAAAAGACAGAGAGATGCAGCCCACCAGGTGAAATCTGACATCAAGCTACATTACATCCAGCCAATCCAACTGACTGCCTCCACTAACCTGAACAACAAGGACCTCAAGCTTTCTGCACAGGCCGATTATGCTGGTGAGGTTTATGGAATCAACACAGGCTATAAATACTCCAAGACGCCAAGTGCCAAGTGGAGCATGGACATTACATACCCCACAAGACATGTCATTCTCCAGGTCGAGGGTGGAAGGCGAGGTGTCACATACGAGGGCTCTGCTGATGCTAAGTGGGATGCTGACAAGGACATTTCCAGGAGATTTCTCCTCACAGGAAAACTCAACCTCAAGTCATCTGGCAACTTTGCTTCCACCGTTGCAATGAAATACCCAACCAGAGATGTGGAGTTCAATATCAAACATGCTAGTGGCCAACAGTATACTACACGTGCTGATGTCTCTTGGGACACTGACAAGAAGATCAAAGTAGATACATCCTTCAAAAAAGGTCCAAACACGAAGTGGTCAGTCACTTGATGGTTCTGTGAGAGTGAAGACCCCGTTTGAAGGATATGAAGATCTAATGGCCCAGGCCAGTAGTGACAACAATGACAAGAAATATGGCTCCTCAATGCAACTCTCCTGGGGTGGAAAGAAAAATCAGATCTCTTCTGCTGTCAGCATGAAGAAACCCTTCTCTGTAAGAAACCTTGACCTGACTATCACAGGAACATCCCCCTTTCAAAGGATACAGAAGGTTCAGCACCGAAATAGATCACAGAATGACAACTTCTCTTAACACCATCATTAAGGGAAGCTTAGAGGGAAAGAATGCCAAGCTCATTTTGACTGGGGAGAACCGATGCACTGACCAGAAAAGGGACATGGAGGGTACCGTGAATTTCAAGTCCAACTTCAAGGGAATGCGAGCTGTTAATCTACGTCTTTCTCACAATGATGATTTCAGAAAGTTTGTGACTGACATTGCTCTGGATGTCAATGGCGATCAATACACCTATGATTTGGATATGGACCATGCAAGATCTGGATGGCAGTTCCAAAACACCGGTAAGCTCACACTCTCTTCTCCAAGCTACCGGTTCACCAACAACTGGCAACACAGGAATACTCACAATGACGTGAAAAGTACAATGACAACCGAATGGGGCAGGGGCCGACGCATCTTTGTCAACATATTTGGAAACCATGCTTCAACCACCAGAACAAAGGCCTTGGGAGGAGTAACCATTGAAACTCCATGGAAACCAATCCGCAGTCTTGACATCAACCTTGACCATGAACACGGAAGAGGTTTTATCCGCCACTCCTCTAACATCAAGCAAGGAGAGGATATTATTGGGTCAGCAGGAATCAACTACATTAGATCTGATGGGCAAACAGAGTCGGACTTTACACTGGCATCACCTGTGACCGACCTCAAAGGGAAGATAAGTGCTCGCTATCTTACTTATCCACTTTCAGGACATGCTGAATTAGAATGGTCTCCATATAACAAAATGTCGCTTGATGGTTCCTTTGCTGCTCCATCTAAAGAGAATATTGAAACAAGTCTACGGATGACAAGTCCTTTTGAAAACTTCAGAGACATTGTCTTGAAGGCATCTCACAAGAGGGAAGGATCTGATTTGATATCAAGAGGAAGTTTCAGCTATGACATCAGAAAGGCCTTTGAATTTGAAGCACACATTACTCCTGACACCCTGAACAATTATCGGGCAACACTGAAGACGCCTTTTGATGACTACAAATCTTTTGAGGCAGCACTTTCATACGATGGTGGCAGGAGAAACTTCATGAGCAAAGCTAACTTTGCTATCACTCCTGTTTTGGGAAACTTTGCTGGGATCTTGAACTGGAACCTCGACGACATGAATGGAAAGATGAGGATAGATACTCCATTCCCTGACTATCAGTACGTGCAGGTGTTTGCCAGCAGTCAACTTACAGGCAAGGGGAGACGCTCACACATTGAAACAGAATACTATCCAAGGAAAACTGTTAGCCTTGATGCTGTCTATGCATTTGGAACCCCCATTATCATGGACGTCACCATCAAGACTCCATTTGAAAACATGGAACACATGAGTGCATCCCTAAAACATGCTCTCAGAAGACGCTCTCTACAAACACATGCTGATGTTACGTTTGCGTCTGACAGCAACTTGGCTGGCGATCTGAAACTGAACTGGGCAAAGGGATATGATGGCAGTCTGGTCATCACCACACCTTTCCATGGTTATGAAATCAACAAGCTATCTGTCAGACATGAGGGCACTTGGGATGATTTCAAGAGTCACGGAGAAATTCAAATGACAAGGAAAACTGGAGAAGTCGACCTTGATTTCCGTCATGGCTTTAGATCAACTGGGACATTCACACTCAAGACACCATTTAATGGCATGGAAGAAACTAAAGTTTCACTTAACAAACGTGGCCTTTGGAATAACATACGAGGCGGTATCATCATCACCTATGGAAGAGATCAAACAATTGACATCTCTGGCCAGAACAGATTTTCCAATGGACGCCTGGACACAACACTTCTTGTCAAATCCCCCTTTTCCGATAACATCAAATTTGGCATAGATCATGATGGCCAACTAAGAAGCTTCTCAACTAAGGTATCTGGAGCTGTTGGATCACGACACTCCTTCAACTCAGAATCAGCATTCACTTTCAGGTATCCATTGATAGATGTATCTACCACCTTTGCCCTCACAAGAGATTGGAGGAGCAGAAACATTGGACTCAAGCTTCACAAAGAAGGCTACATTAGTGACATGAACGCCAAAGCAACTGGAATTCTGGACAATGAACAAGTTGATGTGTCCTTTATACTTAAGACTGATGGCAAATATGAAGGATCTCTCACCATGCAGACACCATTTGAAGACTACAAAGATGTTGGACTCTCTCTTCAACATTCTGGAAACGTGCAGAGGTTTACAAGTCAAGGCACTATCAGGTACATGGATGGCAAGTCTCTGGAGGGCACCCTGACTTTCTGGCAATCTGGCCTGGCTCATATTGATACCAAAGCAGAAATCAAGACTCCCTTCCTGGGATATGAATCTTCCCTTCTCAAATACCGCCATTCAATGGATGATTCTCAAATGACATCAAATGCTCTCGTTCTCTATGGACGTGGACAACGAATTACATCTGATCTTAATATCCAAACATCACCTAAGATCAGCTTTGATCTAACTGTTCAAACACCCTACGACAGATTCCAAAACAATAAACTTATGTTTACTCATTCTGGGCCTATTGTCAGCTGCACAAGTCATGCGGAAATGGAACTCCTGGGCAATACAGTCACTGCAGATTCATCATTTGAACACGGAACGTCCACCAGAGCCAGTCTCTCCATCATCACTAACATCGAGGGTATGGAAGTGGTCAAGGCATCTCTCAACAAGGAGGGAAGCAGCGAGAACTTTAGAGGTACTGCTTCAGCCTCCCTGAAGGATTCCACCATTCAAGCCGATGTCACAGGTAGAATTGCACAAGACATCAGAGGAAGCCTTTCTCTTAGAACCCCCCTTCAGTGACTTTAGAGACACAGCCATTGTCATTGAACACACAGGCAACTGGAATGATTTTAATAGCGAAGGAATGCTCCGTTACATGGATGGCAAAACAATTGAGGGTAAAATTAAGTTCTTCAATAATGGATACAGGCAGATGAAAACAAGTGCCGAGCTGAAGACACCCTTCACTTCCTATGAAATGATGACCGTCGAATATGGACATGATTCCAGGAGCAATTACTTTAAATCCAACTCAGCAGTCACCTATGGCAACGGACAGAGGATTACATCAGACATCTCTGCAGATACAGCCAGAGATATCAATGTAAATGCTGTGATCAAAACTCCCTTCAGGGACTTCGAACTTAGTAGAGCAATCTTCACTTCCACTGGCCCTCTCAGAAATATGAAAAACAATGCAGAACTTGAGTTTGCCAAGACCAGACTAACTGCACAGACCAACTTTGCAAACATAGGATCAACAAAAGGTGATCTCGTTATCACAACAAACATTCCTGGTTACGAAAGTATGAAAGGTTCCATTGGAGTGGAAGGGGGATCTCACTGATCTGAAATCTACAGCACTTCTTAACATCAAAGATTCTACACTTGAAGTAGATCTCAGTGCAAGTTTGAAGAACAGAATCATGGCATCTGTGACGATCAGGAGTCCTTTCCAGAACTTCAGAAATGTGGGAGGCTTTATTGAGCACTCAGGATCGTTATCACGATTTAATACTGAAGGAAATCTTCGCTACATGGATGGAAAAGTTGTTGAAGGCAAAGTCGTCTTCTTAAAATCTGGACTGACACATATTCAAGCTAGCGCAGAACTCAAAACACCTTTCCAAGGATATGAAAGTCAATCTGCAGAGTACAAACATTCACTGAAGAATGGCCGTCTTAGCTCCACCATGGATGTCAACTATGGTCAGCGTCAACAAGTACTGATGACTGTAAATGGCATGATGTCACCAACAATAGACATTAGTGCTACACTGAGAACTCCTTTCAGAAGCTTCGAAACCAGCAGAATCATTTTCACCCACGATGGGCCTATTGGCAACTGCAGGAGTCACCTGGAACTGCAAGCTATTGGGAAGACACTCACTGCAGATTTGGACTGCCAAACTGGTAGTTCTATGAGCGGTAACCTGAATGTAGTCAGCAACATTGAAGGATTGGAGAGCATGAGGGTATCTTACAGTAAGGAAGGGGATATCAATAATCTCAAAGCTAAAGGATCCATTGGAATCAGACAGGAAACATTAGAAGCATCTCTAAACAATGTCTTCAGTTCAAGGCGACTCTTGACTGACTTATCCATCAGAAATCCATACACAGAAGATATTGTTGCACGTGTAGATTTCAGTGGGAGACCAACCAACTTCAAAAATCAGATTTCAGCCAGCATGGGCACTGGTGGTTCCATCTCCTCGGACTCATCCTTCCGGCTTAGAAATGGGGATATTGACATCAGCTCAGGATTTAACTTCAATCTGGCGGGACTTGGACAGACAGGAAATATCAAATTCCACAAAGAAGGAGAACTTAAGAATATGAAAATGAGTATCAATGGTGATTACAACCAGAGGAAAGCAAGTGTGAAAGCCGAGTTCAGAGCACTGGACGACATCCATGGTCAGGTCAAAATCGCAACACCATTCAGACCATACAGAAACCTTGGCTTCTCTTTTGACCATTCTGGTACATGGACTCGTTTTACTTCTCAAAGTATGGTCCAGTTCATGGATAGGAGAAAGATCACTGCAAAATCAACCATTTCAGTCATGACCTTGATCGTCTAGAAAGTAGCTTAGAAATTACTACACCTTTCCAAGGCTACGAGTTCACAAAAGCTGAGATTGATCATGCTGCAACAACTAATGGAATCAACTGTAATGCTGCTGTACAGTATGCACAAGGACAGAAAGTTACAGGAGAACTCCATGCTACAATTTCGCCAAAGTATGACGTGGAAGTCAAACTGACTACACCTTTCAGACAATATGAGGTTCTCTCTGCATCCACATCATTTGAGCATGGAACTGACAGATACAATCTACAGAGCAAACTGAATGCTGGAAATGGCAATCACTTTGGTCTTGAATCAACTGTTGACATGTCTACCACGCCCTACACGGCAGTTGCACGTATCTCAACACCATTTGAAAACTTTGATTCTGCTGAAATCTCTTTGACACATGCTGGTGAACTACGGAAGTTCAGGTCCACAGGCACAATACAAACTCCAATGACCGGTACTCACACAGGTGAAGCGTCTTTCGGTTACACATCCCTTTCAGAAATGGAAGGTTTAATATCTCTTTCTGATAACATCAAGTTGGCTTTACACAACACCAACAGAAACCAGAAATACCAATCTCACATTGAGGCTACATGGAGTCCCACAGACAGAATAGCTTTTGATGGATCCTACCAATTCCTTGATCTGTACAGTGAGAAAGAACTGACAACAGATCTGACCCTGGTTACACCATTTGAAGCTGCCAAATTGACTGCTCTCAGGTTTGAACATCATCAAGGATCGGATAAATATACAGAAAGCTGGAAGCTGATTACAATGGTGACAATATTCT